ATGGGATATGTAATAACCCGGTCATTTTCCTTCCTTTCCTTTTTCTCAGATTTTCACGGATATTTTTTTTTCCGTTGATCTTTTCCTTTCTGAGTTCAGTTTCTCATCACTTAGTGTCGTCTCGAGTGTTCTGAAATGATTTTCGAAACTCTTTTATTTGGATTGACAACTTCCTTTGAAGATCGCGACATTTCCACATTTTCATTTTTCGAACACTATTCACTTTTCGTCCTTTTCCCTATTTCGTCTTTTCCCCGTTTGTCACTTTGTTGGCATAACCACACTTTTTATGTTCAGAGTTGGTTTTTGACTTCACGTATCTTCATTCAAAGTGGTTTCCACGAAATATGTATCTTTACTTTTGCAGAAAAGTACTCTAGTTGCTCTAGGCGTCCATAAGGGCATGGATGCACAGTTCTTCAGAATCTTTTTCTTTTCTTGGGATGTTTTTCATAAATATCTTTCGAAGATATTTTATTTTAGGGGTTTCTAAGAAAATATTTTTGGAAGATATTTTCATTTTGGGCCAGTTGTGCAGTTTTCACTTTTTGGAAGGGCCATTGTGCAATTAATGAAAGTTATTGCAAAAATGCCTTGTTTTGAGCCTGGATCTCGTACGGGATTTATTTTCACTTTTCGTCGAGTCTCATACTCTTAGAATTTCCTTCTGATTGTTTTTCTCCAGTTTCAGGGTTTCTGGCCCGGTTGTCGACGAACTTGTTTGAGGCAAATCTCTCTGTTCGGGACTCGGTTTTCGACGCTGTTTCTTCCGTTGTTCATATTTTCTCATTTTAGTTCTTTTTCATGCATAGAGTTTTGCCATTTGAGCGCGTCTGCTTGAATTTCACTTTTTCAGACCCGGCGGGGCCCGTTCAGGGCACTTTTTGAGTTTTTTTATAAATAGGGGGTCTTTAAGTGAAAAATTAGATTTCATTCTCTCTCTCCCCTCTCTTGGCCGGATTCCATGGCTACCACCTTCTGTCTCCTCTTTTACACCTCTTCCCCTTAGTGAAACACCATAGTGCCTTAGTGTTTTATGTTCGTCTTGGCAAGGCCTTTGATTCCACCGATTGGAATCTCGTTTTGGCCATTTCTTAAGTTTAGGTTTGAAGTCAAGTTGTGATTTTCATGGGGCTTCCTTGGGGTTCTTGTTCACTGTGTTGTCCTCGACAAAACCTAAAAGTTTCGTTGGATTCGGAGCGGTTTCAATTTGGTGGGTTTTGATATTTTTCATCTCAAATTGAGGTAGGAGATGTTTTAGGAGTTTGTATGTGTTGTGTTAAGTGTTTTCCATGATTATACAACTTGCTTGCATACCTTGTATCAAATCTAAAATATTAGTAATATTTATTTCTTTGCATGAGATTTAATTTACAAGGATGTATATAGCTTAGAATTAAATTGAGGTATAATGATAAATTATGCTTTGATATGTTTGTTAACATATATTAAATCAGAATTATTTGAATAAAAATTTCACTTTTTATTTAATAATTATCTTTTGTGAAAGTTTAATTCTCATGGGTGTACCTTGCATGAAATTAACTTGTGATATGCTGTTAAATTAAGTCTTGACATGTTCTTTAATATACTTTAATTTGAGAGCATTTGGATAAGTATGAAAATCTAGAGATTTTAATTAAAATGATTAATTAAAATCTATTTAATGATTCCATTGGCCTAATTAAGTTTTTCAATTGGTGTATGCAATGACCATGCTATATTGTTTAACATGTGTTAATTAGAGATCATTTGATTTAGATTTTAAACTTAGAAAAATAAATTAGGTTATGTAATTAATTTTCATTTCTATTGCGTTAATGATTTAATCATGTGTTTGACATTGATTGTATATCTAAATCATGATTTTGGACTTGTATTAGATTCTTCAGTTCATGTTTTCAATATTGAATTATATTGTTATAGCATGTAACGAATCGCACACTGAAGATTCAACATGTGATGTTATTATAGCGTGTAATGAATCGCACTCTGAAGATTCGACATTGTCATCCTATAGTAGTTGTGGATTTAGAGCATGTATTGCGTGGTTTCAACCTACTTGTGCATGAAGGTAGTTTCGTGTACTATTTAATACATATATAAGTTATTAACTTATCTATTTTGGAGTCACTTGGGACATTGTTATAGAGAAATGGCTAGAGTTTGGCTCTAGTACGGGAGGTATGAGTTCTCCCTATAATATAGTGCGCACTAGGGTGGTCTTTGTCTTGATGCAATGTATTAGAAATTCTAATTATGTTAAATTGCTATATTTAGTTGTTTTCGTACTTTAGATTTCAAGTTGATAACTTTAAGAATTTATATCTTGTTACTTTGTATAGCATGCTTCTATGTTGGTTAAATTGCATAGATATTGTGATTCATGTTTTGTTTTTCAAATGTAGCTTAGGAATGATCCTAAAGATTCATTTGGAACATAGACGTTAGACGGCATGACCACTTTTGTCGTTTTTGTATATTAGATTTCAAGTTGATGACTTTGAGAATTTATATCATGTTGCTTTGTATGGCATACTTCTATGTGGTTTGAATTGCATGGATGATGCAATTTATGCTAGAAATGATCTAGGGTAGCTTAGGATACTCCCTAAGTCTCACCCTGACATAGACATTAGGTGGCATGAGCTCTTTAACATGTTTCACCTTAAGGTGATAAAATTGTAAAATGCTAGGTCGATGCATGCTCATTTTTTACGAGTAGCTGTATGTTACTCACCCACGTAGTGGGGACATTTTTCAGGTACAAGAATCAAGATTAAAGATTCTCATTATGCTTGGATGATTTGAGGACTTGAAGGGTTCAATTCTTGTGTAGGTTTTCAAGCCATTTGTAGCCTTATTTGTCAAATGTGTATATTTGATTCTAAACTTGTAATGTGTGCCTAAGCACACTTTTTTATTCTCATTTTATGTATATGACATGAGGCGAAGGGCCAAACTTCTTTTGAAATTGCATATATGTCATGGATGTTAATCTTGCCTTTAATGAGAATATATGAAAAATCATGCGTTTTAGTATGCTATTTTGCACTGGAATGTGTATTGTGTATGAAATTCATCCATTAGCATTCATTAACTGTGTATGAAGTGTGGCCAAGGGCCAAATGGCATTTTGAAACCATTTCATAATTTTGAGTTCCAAGTTTTCGTTTCAAACTTCATTTTTGTCATTTTGGCCGTTGGGGAGTCGTATTTTGTATCGGCGATATTTTTAGGCCATGGACCATTGTAGCACGTCCTATTAGATAGGTTACGTTTGCGTGCATAATCGTTTTCATGAAAAACATTTTCTTTGGTGAAATGAGCCTCCTACGGACTCATTTTACATTTTCTTTGCATAATCTAGTCTAGGGGCATTTTGGAATTTTTCCTTGGGAAATAAATTCCGGTCTTGACATGGTAACTTAGAAAACATGATTTTAGGGGGGGGGGGGGGGTTTCTTCTTCGTTTTTTTTCCAGAAAATGTCATCTAGGCATCAGAAATCCATCTCAAAGTTTAGCTTTCAGTTTTGCAATTTAGCAGCTTTTTGACCTTCATGACCTGATTTCATGGAGGGGAAGTTTGGGAATTTCACAGTGAGTTTTTTCCATTTTCTTCCATACTGTCACGTAGAAAGCTCAATTTTGAGGGGTGTTTCTTCTTTGTGTTTTTTCAAACAATGTCATCTAGGGCCTCAAAAACCCATTTTTATCGAAAAACCCCTACTGCCAGGTTTTTGCTGAGCTGTAATACAAGTGATCGAGTGGTAGACATCTGTAACCGGTTACATGTGCTTGGGTAGAGTGAAAATCCTCTGTTTTGGCCTCCTAACCGGTTAGGAAGGTTTGGTAACCGGTTAGATGTTCTAGGGTTTGCTCCTTTTGACTTTTGTGCCCTTCTTTCTTCTGTTAACCATATCTTCTTCATTCGGACTCCAAATCAAGTGAAATTTTTTTTGAACTTGATTAATTTTTCACTTTCTTTCCAATGGTGTGCTCAATAGTACCCACTTTCATGTTAGAAATGATAATTTTTCCCCTAGGTTCATTCTTGTCTGTTTTTTAAACGCCGCTTCGGCATTTGTTTCCTTTGGGTTCTGTGACCTCATTGAGTGTCACATTGGCGTCTTAGAAACGTGTTGTATCTCTAGAGACCGTTGTTTTATCTTTTTCTTCCACATTCTAGATCCATTTCGGGTCATCACAGGATACACTGGGTTGTAAAATCCAGGGTCGTCACAGGATAAGAATAAGCAATGATACAATCTAAGACAATATAGCATAAGATGAATGAGAAATATAAGAACAAGCCCTAGATAAAGCATGAAAGTATGCATGAATACACATAAAGGCACAATGATGAAAAGTTTTTATATTTTTCTTTTTTTGAAAGCATGCAAAGAAACAAAATGCAATATGCAAAAGAGAAAAGAAAAATAAAGAAGCAAAAATGCAAGAATAAAAGTGCAAGATACAAAAGATAATAGATACAATGTGTCTTGTGGGTGCTAAATTTAACGTCGCTAGAACCAGATATTTTTTTTGTTAGAAATAGGGGTGCGATCGGTCACAGATGAACTACGATGGATCAATTGAGGGCTGATTTTCTGCAGAGTTTGGGCTCCAGGTGCTATCGATCAACTAAGGATATGATCGATCGCAAGGACCTACGATCGATCACTAGAGGGATGAATTTTTCAGAGAATGGTTAGATGCAGGTGTGATTGATCGCAAGGAACTGCGATCGATTAACTGAGCCTTGATTTTTAGGCAATTTGGAATGGATACAGGTGCGATCGATCGCATCTGTTACTGACAGGGCTGAAAAAGGTGAAAATGCTTGAATTTGCTCTAAAAACTTGATTTTTAAAATTGGAATACAAAGTGACATATCTAGACACTGCAAGACGGTAAAAGTAGAAGAAATAAGGGAAGGATAAAGTTGGAAAACTCTATGAAACTAGGTTTAACGTCTCTAGTCAACGTTGAAATGCTCTCAATCTTTAAGGTAGATGGAATCCACCAAGAGGGCGGCTTCCACATCTCTTTGAATAGCTTGTCCTTCAATATAGGGCTTCAATCTTTGACCATTCACCTTTAAGATTCTTTCATCTTTTAAGCACTTTATTTCAACCACTCTATGAGGAGAAACGAAAATAATCTTATAAGGGCCTTCCCATTTAATGCATAACTTATTGCGAAAGAATTTGAGTCTAAAGTTGAAGGGCCATGCCTTTTGCCCGGGCTCAAAGAACTTCTTTACAATGTGTTTATCATGAAAAGTTTTTGTCCTTGCGTTATAGATTTTAGCATTGTCATATGCATCATTTCTCAATTCCTCTAATTCATTTAATTGGAGCAAACGGTTCTCACCAGCCTTGTCAAGATCAAGGTTAAGCTTCTTGACTGCCCATAAAGCCTTATGTTCTAGTTCAACCAGAAGATGACAAGGCTTCCCATAAACAACTCTATATGTAGGCATACCTATTGGAGTCTTATAAGCCGTCCGGTAAGCCCACAAATTGTCATTTAGCTTTCTTGACCAACCCTTTCGGCTCGGGTTCACCGTTTTTTCTACAATTTGCTTAATTTCCCGGTTTGAAACCTTAACTTGCTCACTTGTTTAAGGATGGTAGGGAGTGGCAACCTTATGAGTGACAGAGTATTTCAAGAAGAGTTGCCTCAAAAAGTGATTGCAAAAATGTTTGCCTCCATCAGTAATGATTGCCCTTAGCATACCAAAATGAGTATAGATGTTTGATTTGACAAAAGCAATTACCGCGGAATAGTCATTCATTTTGGTAGCACAAGCCTCAACCCACTTTGAAACATAATTGACAGCAAGGAGGATATATTAGAAGCCATAAGACATTGGGAATGGTTTAATGAAGTCAATGCCCCAAACATTAAAGATTTCCACAACGAGGACCAGATTTAAGGGCATCATGCCTCTCTTTGACATTGATCCCATTTTTTGGCACTGAACACACACCTTGCAAAAGTTGTAGTAACCATCTTGATGGATAGTGGGCCAAACGAGGCTACTTTAAAGAACCTTCAAGGCGGTCTTTTTTGTACAAAAATTCCCACCACATGCAAGAGTATGACAAAACACAAGAACGCTCAGAATCTCACTTTCCGGTATATATCTTTTTATGATTTGATCCAGGCAATAACGAAACAAGATTGGATCCTCCCAATAGTACTTTTGGATGTTATCAAATAATCAGTCCTTTTCTTGTTTTGACCAATTGGTGGGAAGTTTGCCAATTGCAAGATAATTCACAATGTCACCGAACCAAGGCAATTTCCCATTGGAAATATGGAAAAGTTGCTCATCCGGAAAAGAATCATGAATAGGAAGATTTGGGGAAGATTCAATCATCAACCTTGAGAGGTGGTCAGCAACGACATTATCGGAGCCTTTCTTATCCTTGATTTCAAAGTCAAATTCTTAGAGGAGTAGGATCCATCTTATTAAGGACGGTTTGGTTTCCTTTTTCAATAAGAGATGCCTTAGAGCAGCATGATCGGAAAACACAATTACCTTTGATCCCAAGAGATATGACTGGAATTTATCAAGGGCATACACTATGGCAAGTAACTCTTTCTCGGTAGTAGAGTAATTTAATTGAGCTATCGAGAAAGTTTTACTTGCATAGTATATGGCACATGGAAGCTTACCTACCCTTTGCCCCAAGACAGCAGCCATTCAATCTCAAATGGTAATGATCGATTTGGAGGTTGCATGATGGGAGCGGATGATAGAAGAGTGTGAAGTTGATGAAAAACATCTAGGAATGCTTGGTAAAGCCAAATGGTATCTCCTTGGCAAGAAAATTGCACAAGGGTCTAGTGATTTTGTTAAAGTCTTTGATAAAACGGTGATAAAAGCCGGCATGACCTAGAAATGAGCGGATTTCTCTCACCGTAGAAGGTGGAGGCAATTCGGAAATGAGCTCTACTTTCCTTTTATCAACTTCAATTCCCCTTTAAGATATGACATGACTTAACACTATCCCCTCTTGAACCATGAAATGGCTCTTTTCCCAACTTAACATAAGGTTTGTCTCACGACATCTTTTAAGCACAAGTGAGAGATTTTGGAGGCACAAATCAAATGAGGATCCAAAGATCGAGAAGTCATCCATGAAGACTTCTAAATATTTTCCCACCATATCCGAGAATATCGACATCATACACTTTTGGAATGTGGTGGGGCCATTGCACAAACTGAATGGCATCCGTCGGTAAGAGAATGTGCCAAAGGGACAAGTAAATGTGGTTTTCTCTTGGTCTAGGGCCACTTGATTGTACCCCGATTAACCATCTAGGAAGCAATAATACTTTTTCCTGGCTAATCTTTCCAAGATTTGATTGATGAAGGGCAAATGAAAATGATCCTTTCTAGTGGTGGAATTTAATTTTCAGTAATCAAAGCACACTCGTTATGATGTGGCGGTGTGTTCGAAAATACAATCGCCCTTGGTATTCTCCACAACCATAATTCCTGACTTTTTGGGAACTACTTATGTTGGACTTACCCACTTACTATCGGAGATAGAGTGTAATACCCCTAATTTTAAAAGGATAGTCTCGGTATTTAATTGCATTTTTATTTGATTATGTGATTATTTGGCTAGGCGGTTACTTGTGAAATTGATTTAATTATCTAATTGTTTATTTTTTGTTTTATCTGAATAATTTGGTTAATTAAATAATGTGATTAGATGATGTGTGCTAAGTGTTTAGTTGTAATTATTTGATTTAATTGTCTAATTGTTTATTTGTTGTTTTATTTGAATAATTTGGTCAATTAAATAATGTGATAAGATGATGTGTGCTAAGTGTTTAGTTGTAATTAATTATTTAAATTAAATAGTTATTCTGTTTATTTTTATTTTAAAGGAGTTTGGCTTGGACAGTAATAATGGATCAACCGTTTGGGTCTCATGGATTACTTGGATAGAAGATTTAAATGGGTATAGTTATTAGTTATCACCCATGGATGGTTAAATATATATATATGGGTATTTATGTATATAAGTTAAGTTTAATTATTAATTATTATTAATGGTTAAATTAGTAATAATATTCAGTATATATGTATTATATACTTTTAAGTTTTGATATATATATATATATATATATATATATATATATATATATATATATAATATCACGTTATGGGATAGCAGACTTATATATATATATTTATTTTATATTATATTATATTTTCTTTTTCTTTTCCTTCTCCTTATTTATTTAAAATTAGGTTTTGTATAAGTCTATATATATATGTTATATGTCTGCCAAGGGTTAAAAACCCTATTCACGTACACATAAAGGTTGAGAGATATATAGAGAGGTTTGAGAAAAAACTGACAGAACAAGTTAGGGTTTTGGCCATAGATTGAAGGTCAGACCAAGGAGGAAGGAAGAAAGTCTGCTTGTGGGTTGAACTAGGAGTAACAGAGGAGTTTAATATAGTTAAGGAGTCGTCAAAATAATCGAAGAAGACGGTTTAAGGTTTCAAACTGAAACATAAGGCAAGTTTTTTATCTTACTCTTTCCCCTGGACTTGTGTTCTGTACATGCCTAGGTAATCTCTAGGATTTAATCAGATATTAAAATTGGTCTTGTATGCATGCTAATTCAGAATTAAAACAATATTATGTGATTTTATTTGTAATTGATTGATCTTGAATTCTGTTGCCTGAATATGTATTTTAATTGATATTAATGATGCAAACGGGATTTATATAAATTACGGGGATGTTTTGGGACATAGTTCAGACCCCTAGGAACCTTAGTAATGGAGGACAGAGGGATTAGAATTCGCCGGAGATAGAAAAGATAAAGAACAGGAGGAGTGGAGGCAGCTCCATTGGAATGGAGGCAGCTCCATCTCCAATGGACTCGGCTCCCTTTGCTGAAGATGGAATTTTGACGTGATTTGGGTTCTGTTTGGCTATTTGGAGTATTTCTAAGTTGTTTAAATTGCTATGAATGATTTAAATAACTGTTTTAGACATGTAAAAATACTTGGAAACATGATTTACATTAATATGCTAAGGAATTGAACAACATGAATTTTAAAAGTAAATTTGCATGTCGATTATTGAATATAAATGATTTAATTGCTTATTATTGTTCTAGCAATTTTTCTATGTATGATTAAATAGTGTTAATCGTGTTTTAGCTGTGTATTAGGCATAGTTGACTATCTGAAAATTATTATGCTTATTTTGGATTAATTGATATTTTAATTTATTATTTACTTCTTCAGTTATTGGATTTGTGGATTATATGCATCGGTATGGGACGGTGGCATATTAGGGGATGGATTAGCTCAAGACGCTAAGTCCTACCTATTATGGTATAAGGGAATGGATTAATTACAGTGTTAAGTCCTACTTATATTCGTGTCAGGTCAACAAACAGTTGAATGACATACCTTAGTTTTGGATGGATTTATATATATATGGTTATGGTTCCATGATATAAGCTTGAATCTTAGGATCGATGGTTAGGGAACGTATATGTAGTGGGATGCATAGCTGGCTATGATGGTTAGTTGTGTACCCTGTTAGGTCTAGGTACTCATGCTCACTTCAGGTGCATTTTGCATGTTACCTACTAGTCAAGTTGAGACCGCATTATAGTCCAGTGAGAATCCCTTAGTGTGTGTATATATATATATGGACTATATAGCTATTGCTGAGTTGTCTAGGATGTATATGTGTGTTGGGTCTCTGTTTGAATTGGAGTAGAGTAGAACTCGTTTGTGGCACTGACCCATTATTATTTTTCAGGTATTCGACAGTTCCACTCTTAGAGATTGATCGTGCGGAGCAGAGACAGTATTATTTACTCTTCCAACTCTATATAGGATTTTCTTCATGATTTAGTTTTTAGACTTTTTTTATTTCAGTTTTTTTTTTTTTTTTGGTTGGGATTTTATTAGGGGTCCACTTGATGGTTTCCCGAGTTGTAATAAGAGGATTTGAAGTAATTTATATTTGGAGGATTATTTATTTATTAATTCAAGGATTATCATTTAGTTCCTTTTCAACTTTATTTATTTATTCTTAAATTCTTCATGTATTCTATGCTTGTTTATATACTTAATTGTTTGGTATCCCTCGGATCTATGCTCGGACTTGATCACCCCTGGCTCTAGAATCGAGGGGCATCATAGTTGGTATCAGAGCACTCCAGGTTCAAATGTCTTTAGGATGCTTTCGTATAAGACTTCCACGTAACGTATTCTTTTATTTAGAGCCTAAGTTTAGGATTCATTTTATTCCTTTATGGTCCGCTGAAATCGTACTGATGTCTGTCTTTCTGTGTTAACAGAATGGTTAACGCTAGAAGATGACAGAACATGCAAGGAAACTGGCAGCAAAAGAGAGCGCCATGTAGGCAATAATATCTCCTACAACATCAGCAAGTTGCAGAAGAGTAACAACTACCTAGGTT